GTGAAGTCATGCGAGAAGAAATGGCAAAAAGTGACAAAGCAAAAGAAGAGCAGGAAAGGAACAGCCACAAGATAAAAATGATATGGCTGTTGATACCAACAGTACAGAACAGGGCCCAAAATGTAAGGGAGAGGAGGCATGCAGGAAGAGAAAGGATTTTGGAGGAGGAAAGGAAGGAGAAGAAAAGGAAGAGGAGAAGCAGAGGAGAAGGAAAGGTATGTTTGGAGGAAGAGAAGAAGCTAGTAGAAAATTGTCCTTAGTCTTTTCTATGAAAGAAGAGAAAGCTGCTAATTTATAGGATGGCAAAAGTGAGAGGAAAGATATTAAGCTACCTAGTTTTAGTGAAATAAAAGCCCAAAGACAGGAAATCTACTAGAAATACAGCCACCAAATAGACTACTCACTGTTCATGGATCAAAAAGAAGTATGAGGAATCAACTTCAGATCTAGTTCTAGCTGGTAAAAAATGGCCCAGTTTTAAAAAGAGGTTCTGCGTGTTACTGTAGCTAAAGTAATAGCACTACTTAGGTTTGGTTTGTTCATCTGCATCCCAGTGTAGTTGTCTGTGTTACCCTGGCGTCCAGGTACTTCATCATCTGCATCCATATTTCCAGGCTATTAGCAAACTTGTTTTCTAAGGATCCTGGCTGTGATGGGAATCTCAAATGCAGGATCATCAACAACTTCCTTTCCTCTTACAGCTTTTGGGACTGGTTTAGAAATGAGTCACTAACTGGAAAACTAGATACCTGAAATGGGTCCCATGCAAGTTTCTGAATTATATTCATGTGATTTTTTTTTTTTGTATTTCCCTAATTAAAAAAAAAATCAGTGTCTCTTACTCCCACTGCCTATTGCAAATCAGTAGACCAAGAATTCAAATAGTTTGTTAATACAGCAAATCCTGAATACTATACTGATGAGTATAGTGTAAAAGAATTGTGAAGAATCATTGAATGTCACTGACATTTGAATGAAAACTCTTCCTGGCTTTTCCAGGCTCTGTCACAGGGGCCAATGCAGAAGTGACCCACCAGGACATGGTAGATTGGTGTATGAGAAAAGCAGAATAAATCTCCTTTCTTTTCCCTCTCCTCTCTATCCTAGTATCTGTGCTGGGTCTGCAAAGGTTAGCAAACTCACTCTGTTTGAGTCAGAAGAGGAGCAGATGTGACTAAGAGACACATGGGAATAGGAACAGGGAGGGAGAAGTTGCTGTTTTTAGACAGCCACTTTTCTGACTGAATGCACGTTAAGCACAGATCAAGTCAGCCATCCTCCAAAGGGTTCAGAGGAGGTTAGGTAAGATCCCATCACAGATCTGGAGTTCCAACCCTTCTGCCTCGAGGCTTCCAGGGTAAAGCAAAGCTCTGCGCTCTGGAGGCGGTTTGTAAAGGTAAGTGACACTTACCCTCTTGCTAACACGCTTTACTTCATAGAACTGAAACCATAAGGCATTTCCAGCCAGTAGGTCAGATGTTTTATCGTGTGGTTCATGTGTTATTCAGAACACGAATGGAGCAAAGGGTTTCAGACGTGATCTCTGGATATTAGGTCTTCATGGAGAAGAAACAAAGGTGGAGAAACTAGCTATCTTTCCTTCGTCTGTATCACATAACATCACAGTGAGTCTGAAACAAGGATCATGAGATGTTTCATTTAAATCAGCAATTACTTCAGTGTTCTGTGTTCATGTCCTTCCTGTAGATACAGCATGGCCCTGAATGAATTTCCATCATGCTGTCAAGTCTGGTTACTTTCCTGCCGGGTCTTGCTGTGTTTCCTTCCTAGATTCTTCTTTTGAATTATCTTGTTGGCTTTCTCTTATAAGCTAATGGTACAAGGAGGAGGAGGAGAAAAAAAATGGAGACAGTGGTACTTGGGAAGACAGTTTGCATAAACCTTGTCAGCAGGGCTGACCGCAACGCTGCCGAGACAGATTAGCATGCCGAAGCCTGCCGAAAACAAACACACACCAGCTGTTTATCAGACAGGGCTCAGCTTTCTATAGGAGGAGGTAAACAGATTTATGCAGATGAACCGCCCAGGTGCCCTTGCAGTCCAGCATCTTTCAGCTAGTCGGCCTTCCCTATGAGTTACGGTCAGGACAGATGAGCAAAGAATAGATGCAAGGTTAGCACAATAACACAGCCACTTGCACAGTGCCAGGGTGGTTTGTCATTGCTTCATGGGTAAGGCCCGTATTTAATAGTAATACGGGATTAATCATAGTGCTGAATCCAGTGTGACTGGAGGAATTTGATGTAAACATCAGTATTTTAAGCCTATAGCATGTGTAAAGCAATTTATTATAACTCTCTTATCATTCCATTTGTGCCTAGAATACCACAAAGCAAAAATTTATGGCCATTCTAGCTTGAGAGAAATTGTGATCAGCAGAAGTGCTTTCCTGACTCTCCATTAAAGTTGTCCAGTTGCTGTCAAACTGCTTCCTGAAGTTTTTAGAACTAGTTTACTTTAAATGTTATGGTGCTATGTGAGTCCACTATCTCAAAAGGATTGCTTCTCCCTCTGCTTAACTCCCACTATTACAATATGTCCTTAAATTATTCATATACATTTTCTCTGAAGCTTACCAGGTGACCCTAACAACTTGCTGCAAAATCTGGGTCTCAAAGGCAGATGGTATATTTTTTTAATAGCGTAGACATAATATTGGGACCTCCTGAATGTGAAGGTACACAGTCTGGAAGGTACCCCAGCTTTCAGAAATGTCTGGTCGTTTATTAAGATGTCCTTGAGTAAGGGAAGGAGCTGGAAATCTCAGGCAAGACCCGAGGCAGTTGGCGGGGGGCGGGGGGGAAATGTTTGCTTCATTTCTAGTGATGTTATGACTTACTCATTTGAAGTGTAAATAATCTCAAGCACTAGCATTGGTTGTTTTGAGACAGTTTCCTTTTTAACTTTATCTGAAATTAGATGGGGCATAGGATATAAGTGATACATTTCTGTTGGGATTCAGTCTTTTTTTTTTTTTTTTTTTTAAGTATCCTTGGGCTGCTTGTAATACAGGATCATTCCCAGTAACTTGCTTGATTGTTGCTAATCAGTAGACCAAGAATTCAAATAGTTTAAGACAGCAAATCCTAGATACTATACTGATGAGCGCTATAGAAATGCTTGCCAAGAGAAAGAGGAAAAAACCCTTTCCTCTACTATTAAGTAAACTGGTGCCATTTGAGCTTTTCTTAGATTAGGACTTTCCTCACCCAAGTGCATCACTTAACATTTCAACACATAATATTTCAGATTTCTCAAGATACTCCTTAAGCACTCAACTAAGCCAGGTGTGGAAAGCAAAGTCCACAGGTGATTTGTTCTCCCTGACTGTCACTGTAGATTTAAAACCAAAGTCATTTTGGATATGCCCACCATCATGTGCCTTAATGTTACTAATATTATTAATATTGGTAAGTAACAATTTTCAGCCTATTGAACAATTAATGAAAAGGTCAATGGGAATTCTCTATAGAGGCATCGTTCATTACAAGGCCCATTGCTTATGCAGTTTTGCAGCATCCATCTTCCCAAACAAGTGAAAGGGCTACAGATAGCAGCTTCCAACCTGCCTGTGAGTTTGTAATTAAAAACTTAATTGTATGAAAGCCATTAGAACGTTACTCTTTCAATCCATTGGCATTTTAATGAGTTGAATGGTACCTACATTGTTGTAAAGCATTTGCTCTCTTGGGCTGATGTAGATGCCACCTGAATCAAATCTGGGTGATAGGAGCTAGTTTTATGTTTTAGTCGCTGTTAGTGATGCTTTTCTGCAGCGGGTCTGAAGCCCTTTGCCATTTGGTCCCCACCTCCAGCATTCACAGCTCCCAACGGCGCTAGGGTGACTGTACACCTTTACCTGCCTCTAGCTGCTTCCAGGCATGAAGAAATGCCCGTTCGTGTTGCTAAAGGAGCTGTGTGTTGGCTGTGATTTGGAAAGGTCCTTAGAGCTTTGGCAAGAAGTAGCTGGGCCCTAGGGTTGTCCCCAAGAGAGCATGAGACCTTCCAACCTCTCCCTGTGCTCAGTGGCCCATTTGATCCCTGTCTCTGTATTTGTGGAAATCCTGGTAGTCCCTTATCTACCTTTGCAGCTGCCTAATGTCTGGGTAGATCTAGCCATAATGAATGACACCATTAGCTGATACACAAACATCAGGAGCCGACCAGTCTTCGCAGATCTCTATCTTTGTTAAATTAATAACTGTTGCTCTTTTCATTCTTCTTGAAACCTCAGCTACTATTCTCTATCAGTCCTTGCCATCCTAAATGTCAGTGGAAAGGATCATTGAGAGTAATGGAATGAGTTTTTCCATTGTGCCAGTGACTCTATCCTGGGATGATATTTTCTTTTCTGAGGGAACATTCGCACAAGAGATGGCTGCAGGGCCAAGGTCTTGTCGCATGGTTGTGCTCAGCTCTTCCAAACAGCTTGTGCTATTGCCCTGAGGTGCAGTAAGGTCAGTAGTTCTCCTCCTGGGGCAACCCTCCTGGTTCTACCTTGCCTGGGCCCAGGCTCAGAAATCTGCCTGAATTTGGGTTTAAATTGATCCCAACCAAAATGCAAAAATTAACAGGACCTTCTAGTGTCACCTGGCCTGGCACTGAAAGTATGTAGCCTTTGTAGTGACCTTTAGCACATGAATTATTTCCAAAATTATTCCAAAGAGATTCAGGTCTTCAGGGCAGATTTTTCCCCCAAAGGTTCTACCCCCTGAGGACAAGCTTGCTCTAAGTCTATAGTAAAACCTGATAAATCTCAAGTACTTTCCTCACAGCTGTTTTACATAAGACTAGTTCCACCCCAGAGATGGCAGTGCTCTGTCGGTGGGTAAAAAGATCCCTGTAGATATTTTTGCAAGGCAATTTCAGATCCTTTGCAGCTTGCTAGAAAATTGAATTAGTTATTTTTGCCTTCCCTGAATTAACCCTAATTCATTCTTCCCTCTACCCTCTCCTTCCTCCTTCCTTCCCTCCAACAGATGTCCAGCATATAAAGAGGAGAGACATCGTTTTGAAGAGGGAGCTGGGAGAAGGTGCCTTTGGGAAGGTGTTCTTGGCCGAGTGTTACAACCTCAGCCCCACCAACGACAAAATGCTGGTGGCAGTGAAGGTAAATCTCAGGGGCAAATGGAAGAGAGTACAGCAGGGGCTGGACCACAAAGAAAGGCTGCCCAAACCTGTGTGGGAAAGGGAGGCAGGGAGGGATGGGGGCTGGGATTGAGATTTATCTGATGCTGGATATTGTGGTAAATCCACTTAGTCACAGAAACTTTCAGTGTTTCGCTTCAAGGTCATCTGTTCTCGCCAATGCCAAAGCCTTTCTTCCTGTCAATGAAGCCAGGAGACAGGGAGGAGAAGCTGGTCTGGCCATTTTAAGCTCCTGTGCAGCTGTAGAAGTGAAGCATGGAATTTACCTCCCTCTTCAAGTGCCTGGGGCCTTTCTCTTTTGGGTTTTTATCTCTTCGTGGAATATGCAGAAGTTGAAACAAAAAAAGGCCTCTGCAAAAAGAAGTGCTTAAAAGCTATATGTCACGAAGCAGTTTTCTGGGATCAATTTGCTGGAATAGCTTTGCTGCAAGATGAATAAAGTAACCCCTTCCAGCTTGGCTCGGCTCAGCTCCTGTTGGCGTTGGCACAGATCCCTCCCATCCTGGGAATTTGGAGCCAACACAGGTTCAACTTGGAGTGTGCTGTGCTCCTTGCATCTTTGCAAGGGTCCTTGTGTGGGTTGTGATACATCAGCACGGCTTTAGGTGGAAGGTACCATTAGTGCAGTAGTGTACTCTGCTGTCAAGTGGCATCAATTGGCAGACCTTCGTAATCTAATCATCTGTGGTTAATTGCTGCTTCCTAACTCTTTGTGAGATCTTCATTTGAACTGATGATCTGCAAGAGAAAGGTTCCAGCGCTCTCTCCAGAATACTGCAGGCATCCAGTTACTTCAGAGTTGTTTGTGTCAGCAGTTCAAGCCTTTTTCTAAGCTCATTTATCCCCTTTTGCTCTGGCCATGAAGTGCAAGACGGTACCTTTCACTTTCAAGACTGGCTGAAGAAGAGCTACACATATGATCAATTGCCTGATTATATGGCTGCTGCCTGCCTTTCACTGTCAGCTATCCCTAGTGCTATCTTATCCCAGAGGTTTCTCGTGAGCTTCGTTTGCATATAGGCAGAAACAGCATCCAAACTTGTTTCTGTTAATCACTACTATGAACTTACATCTCCAGAGTGCCTTTCATCCTGCAAGATCATACAGATCCCGCTCTGGAACAGGGCCTTGAAATCTGGCTTTCTTCCAGCTCCGGGAAAAAAAAATCCTTCGAATTTGGGCAATATTATAAGTCTCAGGGAAAAAAAATAAAAAAGGAGGCTTTACATATTAAATTGAGATTTGGCTGCATTTCCTGAAGATCTCCTGTTTCTGACTGGGGCTGAGAGCTACTTCCCCAGTCATTACAACTCTGGGCAGTGGCAGGATTTGTTAGCTAGGGGCAACAGAGTCCAGAGCAGAGAATTTGTCCCTCCTGCACTCTCAAAGACTTTCTCTCAGGGCCGGGACGAGAGCAAAGAAAGTGTCTGTGTTACTCATTCAGCTAAACAGATAAAGATTTGCAATAGCTCTAAAGACTGCAGCCCTGCGGATGAGCTGAGTACTGATGTGATGGCATGGACAAGCTTCCTGTTTTACTCAACATGCTTCTAAAAACATCCTAGGAAATACACAAGAACCGTGTTCATCAGAGAGTGCTGAGTTCAGAGTCAAGTATGTGAGTGGTGGAGGGGTTGGCATTCAAGGTATGTTCTCCAGAATATATATTTTTGATTGTTTTATGGGCTGCTCCACAGTGATGAACACACTTTGTGTCTGGGTGCACCCTAGATGTGTCTTCATTTGTACAACTTCCTAGTGAGGTGCTGGGGGTTGTATGAGTGCCTTTTTGCAGATGGAAGCTTAGGGAAATTGAACTGAAAGGATCCTCTAATCTGGAATACACGGATACTGACCTGCCTCTCCAGAGCCTCCTATAGCACATGCCAAATTCCTGTTGACCCCAGTTGTCATTGCAGAAGTCCTGAGCATTTACTAAGTTGAGAGCAGGTGCTGGGCAAGTGAGGAATTCCCTGGTACGAATAAGAACTGATTAGGAGTGGCAATGGCTGCAGCCTGCGGATATTCAGTGACTTGCTTGATGTCAGGTAGGAACCACGTAATGGAGGTACAAATACAGTCCACTCCAAGCCTTCCTAGGGGAGGCATTTCAGTGGTTTCAATGGGACATCCCTTCTCTTCCTCTGATCCTGTTTTTTATCTGCTCCACCACTTCCAATTCTTCTATTTACCTTCCTTCTAAGGCCTTGGCTGTGCAGCCTTAGAAATGTTTTCTAATATCCATTTCTGCATGATACTTACGAAGTTATAGTGTTGACACCTTGTAGAAAAGAGAATGTATGAAGGAAAGCTAAACTCATTGCAGCTTGAAATATTACATACAACTGTAGGAAAAGCAGGGGGAAAAGAGTGATGGAGGAAACTTTTCCTGGAGGGAAAAAAAGGGCTAGCATCAACATTATGAAGTCATTGGTTGCCTGAGATAAGGGTGGATCCTTTGCCATGTGTACAAAGTAACTATCATCCATCTAAATATCTCTAATGAAGCCATTCCATAGGACAGGGAATTAAAATAAAATTATGCCATGTGTGTCTCATGTTGGAGGCAGAAGAAGAGGGGAATGTTCATGGCTTGGGTTGGAGGCAGAAGAAGAAGAGGGGAATGTTCATGGCTTGGTAAAACCTCTCGGGAGATCTGCTCTGAGAGGAAAGGCAGGTGGTGTTGGAGAGCTAGCTACTTCACTCTGTCCAGCCTTGAATGTAGCAGAACTTTAGACCACGCAGGACCACCTTAGCTGTGTGCTTGAGCCCTTTCTTCCCCATGCAGCTTTCTGATGCTTAACATCCTTTTTTGTATATAAATTAGAGCTGGCTCCTGCTGACACTACCTCTTCCATCACCACCAGGAGATTTAAGGCTTGAGAAGGTGAATTTGTGAATAAATAATGGGAGAGCTGCATAGCATCCCCTCATGCCAAGGGATAATCAGAGGTGTACAAAGCAAAGAGCTGGACTGAATGTGGAGGTAAATGGAATGAAGATACCTTGGCTCCTTTCTGACCACTGCTGATGAACGGTTGAAGCCAACACTGGTACAGAACAGTCCAGATCACAGCGTGTACCAAGAGCAGTGGAGTATGGAGGGAATACAATGGAAACCAGATGACTAAAAACCAGGATAACTTCGTCTCTTCCTTAAGCATTTGTGAAGACCATGCTGCTTCTCATGCCCGTTTTACCTTGTCAAATGTTTTGGATTTCAACTTTTTTTTATTACGTGCTCACAGGAGAGCCCTCCATTGGTAACCTGTGATAATGACACCCAGTTTTCCAACTCTCCTGTGCAACCATAGAATAATACATAAAAAAACAGCATCTTCTGCCAGATAGCCCTGACTACTTGCCAGGGGCACCCAGAGCAATGTCTTCAAGGCTACCTGCAATCCCAGTCCTGTGCACCCAGCTCAGAGTCTGCAAGCTATCCTGCAATGGCAAACTGGTGTGCTGGAAGGTGGAAGATGAGATATTCTCAATGAGGATACTGATTTCAGCATCAATCTGTCAGGGAAGCTGTTATAAACAGCAGGGAATAAAAACATGATTTTAAAAATTATGAGAAAAGACTTGACAGTGTCCTTCTTCAGAGGCAGTTTGAAAAATCCACACAATAACTGCACAGCCAGGCAAATCCATCTTCTGAATAAAGGCAGTATAGTCAGCTATTTCAAAATGAAAGACAGATAGCAAGGACTGACTGGCTCAGGAATTTAATAATAATAAGATATGAAGCCATTCACCCCTAGGTCACCAGTACAAATCCTACCCAAGCTGGGAATAATTGGAAGCTATTACCCTCAGAGGAATGTTTGCTGCTGCCTGGGAAATGAGTTGGGGAACCTGCTGGGCTGGGCAGCGTAGGCAACGCGGAGGTGCTACCATCACTGCTGGCTGCCAGGTCTCCCAGTGACAGGGGGCTGGCAACAGCGGTTCGTCTTCTTCCCCATCAGCTCCTCTGTGACATCCTGAGGCTCACAGCAAAATCCCTGATGAGCCTCTTGGTGGCCACCCCTTGGTCACCTCCTGGGGAGGTGTCTCAGCAGTGTCTGGCAGGGTCATGTGAGGGGACATTCCTGAGCCAGCTGAAAGCACTTAGCCAAGCTACCATGGTGCAGAGCTGGTAGCTGCCCTTAGTTTTCTCAGTTCTTTGAGCCTGCTTGTAGCAGAATATGGCAGAGTTGGGAGATGGAGCAATCTAGCCTTGCGCATTTTGGCCTTGCCCCCATTTGATCCATCCTCTATGTGTCTGTGTCCCTTCTTTCAGGCACTGAAAGACCCCACCTTGGCAGCCCGTAAGGACTTCCAGAGGGAGGCAGAGCTGCTCACCAACCTGCAGCATGAGCACATTGTCAAGTTCTATGGCGTATGTGGTGATGGTGACCCACTCATCATGGTCTTTGAATACATGAAGCATGGGGACCTGAATAAGTTCCTGAGGTAAGTGTGAGATAGGGTGTAGGATATGTGATATAGCTATTTCTGCAACCCTGATATGGTTTGTTGTAAATCTTCGATGTTCCTGGGACACTGCCGGATGCTGGTGGACTGGGTAATAAGAGCTGGTTGTTCCAAAGGCAGCTTGTAGATGATGATGGTCCTCGCCACCAAGTCTTTTGGAGACTTGGGCAGAGAGGAACCTCATGAAATTTAGTGTATATTCTGCAGAGTTCTGCTCCTAGGGAAGAATAAGCCCATGCACCAGCACTGGGTGGGGATTGACCTGCTGCAAAGCAGCTCTGCAGGGAAGATCCTGGGGGTCCTGCTCTGGAGGTCCTGGTGGACAACAAATAGACAATGAGCCAACCATGTGGTCATGTGGCAAGGAAGGCCCATGGTGTCCTGGACTGCATTAGGCAGATGGTTGCTAGCAAGTCGAGGGAGGTGATCCCTGCCCTCTGCACAGCCCTGGTGAGGTTATATCTGAACTACTTTGTCCAGGTCTAGGCTCACCCTAGTGAGTTATGAGAGATTGACTTGTCTTTCCCACCCTAGCAAATCTGAAACAGCAGGAAGCCTGGCTGCTGCCTGTATTCACATCTGCTGCGGTAGAAAGGCAATAAACTCATGACCTATCTGCTTCTGAAGGAAGAAGCTTGCTGGTCATCTGTCTTCATCTCACACAGCTCCTGGTTCAGTAGCATTAGACACAAACTACTACCCAGAGAAAATTTCTGCCATCCTTGATCTGACTGAGATTCTGGGTGTTTAACGATGTCTAGTTCTCATATTCGGAGAAGAGTTGAGAAATTTTGGAGGGTCCTCCTGGGGTCCATCACTGGTCCTTTGTTCCCTGAGTCTTTTTTGGCAGAGATCCTGACTGAGGTACAAAATATTCTTCTCCACAGCACCAAGCTACTCAGGAAGTTAGGCCTACCAAAGCGCTGTAATTGCCTTCCCTGCCTTTAGAGAGCTCCAAATTGCCAGATTCCCTGAAACCATTTTTCTAAACATAAAGCCAATCATTTTTGCACCCTGAATCTGCCAACAGTGAGGGGCAGGGAGTAACTGTGGGAGGATGTTTGCTCTCTGGAGGGTGATTTTTTTCTCCCCTGATACAGAAATTATGCTTTGAGACCTGCATGCAAGTGGAGTTGTACTTACCTCTTGAAATAATTAGTAGTTTTATTTCCCAGCATTTAGAAAATTGGACCCTTGATATTTTCCTGTTTTGACTGCTAAGTATGAACATGATTGCATTAGGAAGAAGCTTGAACACATGTGGTCTAGATCTGGGGCTGAGATGGATGCTGTGATTATTATTCCACCATCACAGTCAATTTCTGACCAAACACAAACACATTCCCAGAGGTTTTCATTTTTAAGCAGTCACCTGTACCATAAAAGCAATGGGGAAGGGATCCCCAAAGCTTGTTCCTCCTCTGCCAAGCAGTGCCAAACTGTAGCTTCCTGGGAGTGCCTGCAGGGCAGCTGGAAACACCTTCACATTGGTTGTCCCTCCTTAATTTGGCATGGTTATGTATAGATTGAATATGACTTCCTAGCTCAGTTCTTCTCTCATGCTCTGGATAGATGAGATCATTGACAAGCTGGGAAGAGTGAAGGTGTCACTATTAACCTTGCAGAGCTCCTTCTCGGAGTCACATTCAGAGAAGAACAGCCGTGATTACCCTGCATCTCCCTGTTGTGCCACCCCATCTTACAAGAGGCCTAGGTGTTTCTAGAAGAAACGAACTGATTTCTGTCTACCAGCAAGTAACTTTGTATATGGCTGGAACAGTGTTTTTGCTCAGATTGGGTTTGCAGTATTAAGGACAATGTTCCAGCCTCGTGACTGAAGAAAAGCAGTCAGAAAAACATGGGAGGCTGCAATCTTGAAGTTCTTCACAAGGAAGAGCAGAAAATTGAACCATCTTTTTTCCTGGCACTAGTAGCTTTATTCTCCTTAGAGTAGATAGATATTACAGATGAAGCATAGCCTCCTTCGTTGTTCTAATTGACCTCTCAGAAAGAATAGTCCAAAGCAGGCTCTCTAACTGTCTTAGTGAGATATCTTGTGCCCACTGTCAACATCTAATGTAATTGCTTTACACAGATACAGCTCTGAAGAGTGCTACTGTGGTGGAGCCATGCACCTCTGTACTTCTAGAGCACAGCCTTGCCCTGAGACATAGTCATGAGAAACATCAGTGTCCTTCGAGGCCAGGACCTGCCTGAGAGGGCATCTGCAGCTGCAGTGACCTGGCTGGTAGACAAGGGATAGTGAAATGACAGCTTATTCTGAAAGATCTTGCCATCAAGAAGGTTTTATTTGACAAGTTATATAATTCTGAGTTTTTTGTGTCGCTCCTTCCAGTGGAGCTGTGCTTTCAGCAGCCCTATAGTTGCACTGTCTTGGACAGAAGGAGGAATTTCAGCACAGAGAGCATGCAGTCTGAGGGATGGTTGTCCAACCGATGTCAACAAAAACCTCCGTTGCTCTATACCAGAAAAAGTTCTTTGACAGACATCCCACCAATTTTGCTGTCTCTCTGTAAAGCTGAATTAGACAGTTTGCTCCAAGAAGAGATGGCCGGACCTCTCTTGTAGTCCCTGCAGTCTTCTTGATGCAACTTAGTGCGCTAGTATCTCTCATGAGTTAATCTCATGAACATGCTGCTACTTCTTTCTTCTCGATCATAACCATGTGGGATGGAGAAGGAGACAGAGGGAGAAAAATATATAATATAGGACATATATGTACAAAGAACTAATGAAATTGAAGTATTGACTGACCATTTCTTAAACTTAGCTTATTCTCTTCAGATAGATTTCTTTGGTGGCAATTACTGTATTTCTTATAGGTGGCAGTAACGAGTTAGTAGTATGTTCTTTGCTTCCCAGCGAGCTCCACATTAGAATACTTACCCTGATGACAACAAGGATCAGTTGCAGCTATGCAGGATGTGTTTGCAAAGCATGACCAGTATGAACTGTCCATTACAGTCTTGGAAGCCCTTTTTTCTCCTGTTTTTCTGTTTTTCGCAAATTTCAGTTTAGTCCTGGCTCAGTTTCACCTGCTGTCAATATCTATTGTCATCAAGAGGTAATTTCCTGGGGTAAATCCCACGGGGTCTGTTTAAAAAACACATCAAGCAGTCATCTCTGCATACACTCTTCTGTTGCTCTTCTTTGCATGCAGCAGTTCTTCCAATGTGCTGGCTTCACCCACAATCCTTACCCACATCCAGGGATTCCTTTGGCATCCCCAACCCTGCAGTCTCTGCAGGATTTTCCCCACTAGCTCATCTCACACTTGCTGCAGCATCACTGACTTGTGGCTCTTGAAATATGCCTGGATCCTTAGCACCCATTTCTGGAGTTTGTCATGTCTTTCAGCTGTCCTCCTGTCAGGTGGCAGAGAGCTTCACAACCATATTCGCCGTGGCAGGGCAGCAGGAGGTGGTTGAAGGCAAGGGTATATGCAAAACTATATTAGCTGAGCCCCAAATGCCTGAATGCTAATCCCTTTGCATGCCCTCAAGCCCAACAGAGTAATTAAGGAACAGAGACAAAGGGAAAAAACAGTTTAGGTCTTGTTATGGGTTATTTGGTCCCATGTTAAGAAGGAGGTAAAGTGCTGTACATGCAATTTCAATTTGCAAGCTCTCCACGGGGTTACTGCTGATGACAGGGGTGAAATGCCAGGAATCACTTCAAAGAGAACAGTTTGAAAGCCTCAGAGAGAAGAAGAAAAAAAAAAAAAAAGACATGCTGTATCTTAGTCACAAGAAGGAAGGTCGCAGCAAATCTCTTGCTTTTTCCCTAGGTATGAGGGCTTTTGTCATTCCACCTTCACATAGGCTACCACAGGGTGAGATCCCCCAGGGAAGGGACATCACAGAGGGAGCAAGGCCAAGGCAGGCTTGGTACACAGTGAGAGAAGGGATTAAAAGCAGGGCAGGACAGGAACGAACCTGACCTTAAGTTCTGCTTTTACAATACACTTGGTTCAGCAAAATATTTCCCTTTATTGCCCAGGATGTTCTCTGTATTTGGTGACATCCAGGTCTAACCTCTGTAGTCCTCTGCTCCTGCCTTCACAGTTTACAGTAGCTGCACTACTTCTGGGAGAGCTTAGGATATGTTCTTCTGAAACCTTTTCTGTGATATCTAGATGCATTGGTGTCAGCTGGGAGGAGGATATTTGGCGTAATGGTGTTTGGTAGAAACAGAGAAGGCTTTGTGGGGATTAAGAAGGAGGCTGAAATGGCTGTGGAAGAAAAAAGGGTGATATCTCCTCCTCTGGAAGGGTTTTCAAGGTCTTAGAGTAAACTGGAGTGAACATGTAAGTATCTGAAGGCTCATGAGTTTTGGACAGGTCTTACAAGAGAAGAATGGCCTTGTGGCATCAAGCCAATGGTCCCTCTCTCCAAGGAGTCTGTGTCCCCCTGTGGCCATAAGTTGCCTGGAGAAGAGTAAGGATAGGAGAAGAAATGTAGGACACCACTCATATACCAAATGTTCTCCCAGGCTCCTGTTCTCTTAATTCCATTTTTCTTTCCACTGAAGCTGTGCATACGTCTAATAGGGGCTAATAGATAGGGGCTAATCCCCACCAGAGCAGGAACAGAGCCTGTGTGGGATTCCTATTTCCTGGTCATTTTGGAGACCCAACTCTATGCTTTTTGCTTCTTCCTCCTTATAGGGCACATGGCCCAGATGCTATGATCCTCGTGGATGGGCAGCCTCGACAAGCCAAAGGGGAGCTAGGGCTATCCCAGATGCTCCACATCGCTAGCCAGATCGCCTCTGGAATGGTGTACCTTGCCTCCCAGCACTTTGTCCATAGAGACCTGGCAACCAGGAACTGCTTGGTTGGAGCCAACCTACTGGTGAAGATTGGAGACTTTGGGATGTCAAGAGATGTCTACAGCACTGATTACTACAGGGTAAGGCAGCCTCCAGCAGCAGTCTGATACTCAGAACAAAGAGAGATTAGGAATATTACAATAAATTCAACAGAGCTCTGAGCTCACTTGATTATTCCCTCAGCAAAGCATGCACATGGAT